AGGAGGTTTGGCATAAGATGGAGCAAGCAAATCTCTCATATCAGATTCCACGATTTCAGCTTTCCAAAACCTTCAACCAATTTAGGAAAGCAGTTAATTTGGATCAGACCTTCGATGACCTCTATGTTGGTAATATCACGGAATACTTACCCGATCCATGCAATGACTACTATACACAGATCGGCCTTGCATTAAGCGCTGTATCGAAACGCAGCTCCAGAAAGTTGGATCGGTTGGCCAACTACTTCACTACCATCGGTGATTTAATTGCTTTGTATAAATTGAAATTCGACCAGATATCCCAAGCACTTTGCGTGATTGAGGAAAATAAAAAGGTACTTGAGCCGCTCAGTCCACTCATTGATGTCGGCGATAAAATTATTGGCTATCTGGTGAACAAGACGAACACCGAGTTGATTTCCCAGTTCACGAACAACACCGCCGAAATTTTTATCAATTCCCGTCGCCCGATCGACCATTACGCGCTTCCGCTTCTTCATCGAATTCTTGATCGCCTTTTTCCCTACCCTAATCTCCGACAGGCATATAGAAAAGCTCTATCCCCTATCTGTCCCACAGATACTACTTATTCGCCCCTCTTCCTAACCCTGAAAAATTTCGGTTTCACTCTGAGTCTTTCTGCTTTTGGTTTGTTTATTGCTAGTGTCATGTGGAGTCGCATACAATTTTAAGAACACCTCCCACATCATCAACAAAAGCGATCTTCCTCCATATGGTGCTTTCCTTATTCTCCTTTTTTTGTTAAAAATTTTAATGATTCCTTTTGTACTAACATCTTCAAATAACGTTTGTACTATGCTCCTTATTTTCTTTAAAATAAAGTCAAGTCCTGTTTATTTCCCAATGGAAATTGGGCAGAGAATTCGAGTTCAAGTGCTGCACACTCGTCATTGGAAGAAGTGATGGTGAGCTGGTCGAATGAGCGGGAACTAATTGCGCAGGCGCGATTGCATTGATTCATCCTCCTTTTCAGGTTGAAACCCGCAAACAGAATCGCGGATACAGCTTCACAACTGAAAGCGTTGGAGAGAAAACTAGTAAAGATTGGCACAACTGATAAACTCGCCTGTGTGGTCAGGCTTCGGACTTTGAATCCAGCAATGGATTTGAAATGAGCGATAGGAATGGATGTGGGCAAGAGGTGCGATGGTGCATGTCTATTCTCGTAAGGGCAACAAGCAGAGAAACAATTGGTTGCAGGTGGGGCGACTTTGGTGTAATACAGTTACTCGGACGTCCGCATGTCTACAGTATTGCTTGAAATCGCCACGTAATATCAGTCCGTTATTGACTAGTGCATGCATGGTTCCGATTTATGGCACTGAATAGAGATCGTCAAATCTCCCTCTGAATAAAAAAACGTGCTTTTGGAATTAGTTGTAAAACTTTGGTAGTTTGTTTAACTCTGCTTTCGGCTACGCGGATATTTGGCTCTACGCACTTTGTTTTTCCGCTTAGTGGCATGGCCTGCAGGTCATGCCAGTAGCCTCTCAGTCCTTCTGTACGACTTCAGAAAAGACTCGGGACGCTGCCTTCGTGGCAGAGGCAAGCGAACCCTACCCCAAAAGACAACTAAGCGGATTTCCATTGCTATGTGCTAAATCTTAACGTGTTAGAAGGGCGCCTGCAGCTCCAGTTTTGTGTTTTGCGAGAGTGCGATTAACAACTGACGCGACCCTACCCGTGAGCCACCCGGAAAGGTTATTTTGGAGCTACCTAGGGTGCCCATAATGATATCAAATAGACACCATTATGGCATCATTAGACACCCAGATAGACAGGTGGCTGGCAGCAATGAAGTGAAAACAGTGTCAAGGAGGTGTAAGTGTGGAACGTGACCACCATGAATCTATTTTAAGCCTTATTTTCTATGAAATGACTTATTTTAGACTAAGATTTTACGAATAGCAATGGAACACGAGATGGCTCTTTTACAGAGCATCAATCAAGTCCTAGTAACGTAAAGGCAGGGAATTTCGCCTTTTTCAACCTAATTTTTAGACGGACCAAACTCCAGATCCAGTGAAAATTGCCAAAATGGATTAGTGACGTCGTAATCAACCATCTTTTTGGGCGTACACAAGTTCGACGGCTGGTGCTGCCGATTCGTGGTTGTGGGAAGTTGTGATGCATTATGCGGAAAGCTGATCAAAGGGAGCATCGGATATGACACTCAAAAGGAGAGAAGAGCTACGTAATGCTCTGATGCATAGCTTAACCCTGCGGTCCAAAACTCGGGCACCCGGTTCTATGCAGATGGTAATTTCGCTCAGCAACATGACCTCCGGATCACCTTAATACCCTCTCGATCCTTCTATATGTCAGAAGTGCATTTTCTGCCATATTACTGACTTACCACAACTTCGGGAAAAGGCGATTCATTTAAAACGCGGTGGAATTTGTGTACCACAATCAATAAATTTCGCAACTAGTTGGTGTGTATCGAATTGAGGCACTTCATTTTAGGTAAAGCAGGGCAGTTATAGTTACCTAGTCACTATTTAAGTGTGAGGCGAAAATAGGTTCGACGTATACCCTAATGCTTTTTTTCAATACAGTATTTAATTAAGGCCTGCAAAATAACATTTAAAATTAATTATTGCAATAATACAATTTTTCGTCCCCATGTAAATAATTAGTAGTTGCTTTTGTCGAATTTCTTTATACAGATTATGGACAGCGGTGTAAATAGAAAAATTTTGTTTATATTGCCATTGCCAGCGGTTCTTCGATTACTGGTGAGTCTTGTGAGTCGTGGTTAATGATGTACTATTCTCGTATCCTCATTATCTGGTTTGTTGTGTAATTTTCATTTCCTAATTTGATGAAAGGACGTAATGTACGAAGCTGAAGTAGTTACTGGTGCAATGTTTCCGTTTGTCACTTGCGGGTCCCAAGGAATGTTTCGATTGCACGACCGTTTCAAATTATTTTGAAAAGTAAACCTTTCCTACAGACTCATATGTTACTCATTTTGTGTCTGGGTATGGCTGCTTATTGTCATAGCTTATCCAAATCGAGTTTTTTTCTACAAGTCTAGAATTCGCGAATGAGTCGTGTTTTGACATCAGAACTTTCTGAGATGTCCATTGGGCCCGATTCCATTGAGACAAATGGTTCTGCTCATCGAATGGGAGATTCATCTCCAATGGGACGCATTAATCCATGGAAAGGTCGTGCAGTAACGTCTAATAGCGTTAAAGGGATGGTTGATGGCCCATCCGGTGCATCCTCACAACTACGGGATGTAACTGGAGGAAGTTCTTCCAGCGAAAAACTATTTGAGGCGGATGCCTGGCCTGAGCCCTCGGCTCCGTTTGAGCGTCGTGTAACGGTGTCTGGTTCAGGCACTAGATCAATTGACGAAAAACCGAAAAATAGTAAGTTTGACTTTATGGTTGTAGAAGGGATCAGATTTTCGCTGATACATTTCTATTTAAAATGCGTTTTTGGTTCCCAAAGCCTGTATTTGCTATACGGCATATTTCTATATGTGCTACAATCCTTGTTAGTTTTGCTAATTTCGTACTACCCTCGATTTTATAGAAAAACTTGGCCGAAAGTGGCAAAATATTGAGATCGAATTCGTCACCTCACGCGGAGGTAGCAGTGGGAATCGCGGCGGTGTACGTTTGCCATCTGGGGCGACGAACGCCAACCATCACTCCCTCTCGTTGATCCCACCATCGAGTTCGGAAATCAATTCACCCACTTCATCCACTCTCTCTCGCGGTGGTGGTGGTAGCAATCGTAGGGGAGGGTTGACGTCAAACGGTTCTTTTAATCGCGGACGTGGTAATAGACACATTAACGGTTATTATCAGTCTCGTGCATCATTGCGGGCTCCAGACCAGGACGTGGTGCAGGAGCCCTCCAATGATGTCTCAGAGACTAGCAACATGGAACCAGTGTCTAAGGCGGTTCCCACTGCCTTCGTAAGTGGGGTGCCGCGCGGGGCGTACTCATCACGGGGGCGTAGGGCTGGCTCTCGAGGTGGCGGGTATACGAATACCAGTTACGTGTCAAAGAATAGCGGAACAAGTGCTTCACAGCCCAATACATCCACCCCTTTGACGGTACCCCAGCAGGTTTCCGTAGCAGCGGCAGCTGTTGCTGCTCAAGCGATGCCTCAGTTGCCCGCTGTTGGACCAGGTTAGTTGGTTTTCTACTGGTACGATTTTATTTAAAAAATTTGTTTCCTCGTTATGTGATTCCCCAAGTGCTTAAATTAGACCATAACGATATAAGTAATTGTTCTCTTTTGGTTTCTGATTGATTTTAGAAGCAGTATTTTTTACTTTTAGTTACTTATTTATTCCCCAATATGTTGGTGCCCGGACCGGCGGTCTTTCCAATCCCACCACAAACGTTCCCCGTGACCACGGAAGCGGCCGTCATGGACGGTGGCGCAGCTGCTTTGCAAGCTGCGGTTCTCTTACCTCAGCCCTCTCCCCAGGCCTGCCTCGTCTCTCCTGAGCCGACTTCCTCTGCGGTTCGCAATCCACTAAGAGAGGATGTCACGCTTGAAGAGTTGCTTGAATTTCTCAGTCAGTACAGATGGTCCAGAGTCCGGATGCCAGATCATTTTCGGAACCATCCAACTGTGGCTGCAGCTATGCAGGCGGTCGGAATGGCCGCTGCGACCGGTGACGAAACTGCAGCCGAGTTTCCGAGGGAGGGTGCAGCTAGCCCTGCTATGGAGAAAAAGGAGGATATAATTGTTGTTGATGACAGATTCTACTTTGTTCCTTTGAATTCGCATTTAACTAAGTTCCTAAAGTTTCATTCCAAACAGGATTATATCCGTCACCACGTGTAAGTTATTGTTTTGTCGCTTGGGCTATATTTACCTGTTTCTAAAGTTATTCTTTTCCTTTGCAGCGAATATTACTTCAGTGACATTAATCTACAGCGGGACGAACATTTAGTGAAGCTTATTTGTATGAATAAGTACACGTGTCCTATCGGCGCACTTCTCGGTTTCAATAGATTACGTTACGTTAATACAACAGAAGATGAACTCATAGAAGGCGTTACGAATAGTTCAACCGTCACTGTTGTATACGACGACCAACAACGGGCCGTTGGTGTGACTCCTCAAAATCCATCGGTTTTGCGGGCTACTGCGGTCGCTTACCCAACGTCCTTTGATTGCACTTCACAGCAATCCACACAGGCGCCTGATTTACAGCAACCAAAGTCTTCCGAAGTTGAATCTTCTCAGGTGTTAATGCCTGTCGGCTCTATAGGCAGTCTGCCGTTCGTGTTGTCCAATGGCATCCCTGCGCCCCCTGTTCCTGGTTTGCAGCCCAACGGAAGTCATATTTTCCAGTCTCCCCATTTTCTTCCTTATCCGGGTGTTCCGACCTTACCGTCATATTATGGCGCAAATACTTTGCCCGGAACGGTCGCGACCGGCGCCGCCGGAGATCACACAGTTACGATGAATCCAGCACCTGCCCCAGATAGTACAAATGTGTGTTATCGTCCTCTATGGCCAACTCCATCAGTCTTTCCTCAAGCTCCAGCGTCATTTCTTCCATACATTACATCACAGCACCAGCCATTTTATGTCCCGCTGTTGCAGCCACCGCCAGCTGGTTTGACCTCTGTTGCTGCTTCGGTTCATAATAATATATCGAGAAACCCGCCTGTGCCGTTTCTCCCCGTTTCTGTTGCAGTTTCCAGTACACAATTATCGGTTCCACAGCAGAGGACGTATGCTGTTTCCGTTAGAGCTCCACACCGACCCCCCAGCAACCGAACCATTAGCGGCGACTGCAAAGTCATTGACGAAACATTAGAACAAAATTCGTAAACTGCACAATTTGCCTTCACTATTTAACCCTTCCCTGTACATAGCCTCGATTTTTATACAAATTTCATTTTGGAACTGCTAAAAACTGTACAGTATGCGTATGGCAGAACAAAAAGACAAAAAAAAATGTTTCTTTGCGTTTGCGTTCAATCGCATACGTCTTCTGTACATAAATTTGCATTTACCATCAACTTTCAGTGACGCTTGCTTCGTGTGAGTTTTCCTACTTTCGTTGTTCTGTTGCTCTCTAGCAATTTAGGGGACATCCATCCAGTCATCTGTAAAAAGAACAAAAAAGTGCTTGTAAACAGCTTTCTCCTCCGAAGGCGTTGTTTTACCCGTTTCCTCTACTGCTCATCATCTAGCAAGCTGTAGAGGATTGGATCAGCCTATCTCGCTTCTGGCCCGTGTTCGGACCCTCTTATGTGCCCACATTTCTACTGTTCTTCTTTGCTTTTTCGTCTCTGGCCCACATTCCGCTCTCTTCTGTTTAAGTGTACTTCTATCTGGACACTTCTCCTTGTGCTTGTTTGTATGTCCTGTTGATTCTGTAGATGCGCCACTTTCATTATTATCATAGGCGCCATAACCAATCTGATCTTTTTCTTCTTTTCCGTGGGTTAAACGGTGTGGTGCTTGGCTTTGCACCATTTGGTTGTTGCACGTACTAGTGACCTTCTGGAAGCGCTGTGCCACGTTGCTGCACTGGGCGGGGTGGTCTGCTGATCCTTTGTAGGGTCTGAACTCGTCCAAGCTCTGAGAAGGTAGCGGTTCCTGCAGATGTATTGTGGATAGGGCACAGGCTGAATTACACTGGCCAGTGTAATTTGGTCAGTATTGTGTGCTTGGAAAGCGTGGATGGATTGGCTGTCGTTGTTTGCTTACTTCCGGTGCATGGAGTTGTTAAAAGCGGTCAAATTGGATGATTTGCTGGTTTTCGTGGACCACGTAATTGGTCCTATGGACTCTTGCACTACTCTGGGAGCTTGAAAAGACTCTTGGTGGTGAAATCATGAGGAAGGGGTGCAGGTCCTTTCCAGCTCTAAGGACAGTGATTGAATGCTTAAAAGGTGTCAGGTCGCAGTCACTAGGACAGGGCAATAGGGTTGCTTTCGTGATTAGCAGTGGGAGCATTCCTGCTACTCACATCTGCTATGTATGTTCGGTGGTAAAAGGAGAGTCCCGCGTTTTGCCAATGGATGGAACTATCTATGGAGAAGGAGGTGTTTACTTCAGCGACATTTCGGGAATAACAATGGTGAAAATGTGCACCGTAGAGTTTCGCGAAGTCAACGCGTCGGTCACACGAATATGGTGACTCGAGGCGATTATTGAGGCACTGCCATGCCTCTTATCACATTATTTACCTCTAAAACCTTTTGCACTAATTAATTACCCTCATGTCTCGAGTAAAGGACCACATAGTCTTTCCATGTGTTTGAGATGTTTGGTTCAATAATTCTTCCTCCCATATAAGGCAGTAAGAGGGACTGTCGAACAGTTTCACGTCTGACTCTTTAACAAACTCAACCTGGTGGTGCGCAAAGTGCTACTCACTTTTAGGATTCGTTTGCGATCATCCTAACTCTAGAAGCCCCAATAATTAAATGATGTCACCCATAAAATAAACAAAATAACTTATTTGTGAATTCGGTACTAAGATTTGTCCACGCGACAGGTGAATTGCAATTGGTATGCACTATTGGATAAGTGCAACGACTTCGATGTCAAAATTTCGGGTTGTGTGTACAACTTGGCAGAGGTGAAGGCCATCTTGCTTGCAGAAGCCCTCTTTAAAACTGTTTGTCTACTGACTCTGGACTGCATTTCTTCACAAAATTTGACATCGTTGTATCAATACCATTGTAAGGGGAGTAAAAAAGGACTTATCTCGGGTTGATTAACACCTGACACCGTGTTTGACAACGATCACACCCCTCATGTTACAGTATTTCGGGCAAATCACAACTTGGGGTCCTTGTGGTGTATTATTATGACAAAATCATTAAAAAATTTCTTGTCCAACGCTTGATTTATGGATGAAACTTAGTTTAAAGTTGTTTGTTGACGCTAAATATGGTCTGAAATTTTATTATTAACTGGATTGTGTTTTCAATACTAAATTTATATTCAAAATTGTGGCAGTGGCCGCTCTTCAGTCAGTGATTATTTCAAAGTATTTCCTACTTATTTATTCCCTTTAGGTAATTTAATGACCATTTTAGTTAACTCAGCATCAATAAAATTTTTTGTGTCCTCATAGTCCCAAATCCGTTGCCGATAATAACGGGTGGTAATCGCGCTCCCACGCACATTTTTACAACCTCCATAAAAGGGTTGGAATTGAGCAACATATATGCATATAGTGCACTGGCATGTCTGGGTCATCTGTGAAGATGCGTCCAAACATCGCCGGTCCGGAAGTTTTATTTACACTCACAAAAGGCCTGGATGGCTCTAATCGTCGACGACATGAATAGAACACTCTGGGGCCGAACGACGACCGATTATTCGAGTGGTGTTGATGGAGGCAGTGATTACAGGCCTGCTGCGCAATCCACAGACCTTGACCTGAATCTGTGCGTTTTTCGAATACCAGAAACATGACCTCGAATGTATTTACGTGTTCAAGGCTACGCTGTGTGGGTGAGCTGATAAGAGCATTTATGCGAAGGAATCAAATGTACATGAATTTCGCACAAAGTGTCTACTTTTTCCCGTCTTTCGATAGAATATCTCGAGGTTTCCAATTCCGCTAAGATATATACAGGTGTGAAATACTGTGAAAAAATCTTCTGCTACTGACCATCTACTTAATTGGGAAGTGTGCTTCTTTCATAGAATTCCAACAGATTAGTATACAAACGCCGCGTACATTTTTTTGGCTTTTAAAAGTGATGGGGGCAATTTTTCACTGAGCCTATGAAATTCAAGCAGGAGAGCTCGAAGACCGGGGGGTAGGCGAGTGGGAAAATCCGACGATTGATTTCCACATCTACCACCTTGACGCAGTCTTTCCATCTCTTCAAGGTCCACGTCTTCCACTCTTCTCATATTAAAGTAATTTTAGAAGCAAGTGGTTGTCATCTTCAAATGCCACCAATACTAGGCCGCTACTTTTTGAACCGTGGGTTTAAACCTCGTTTAGAAACCATAGGGCATATGATGTATAACGGAGTCAAATCGTGCTGTGTAGCATGAAGACAACCCTCTCCTTTTGTGTTCTCACATTTTTGCATATCACGAATGTCAATGGTGGGAAGTTGATCTTACCAAAAAGCACAGTGCAAAGGAGCAGAGGTTATTAAAACTATTCCCATGGAAGTCATTTTTGGCTAATATGTAAAGGCAACAACAAAAGCTACAGGCGTTCAGGTAAAGTGGGAATATTTGAGTTTGTGTGGCACAAGAATACATTTTAAGGAATAGAAACTATATCAATCTTATGGATGCCTTCCCCTTTAACCTGCACATTCCTCTTGGCGTTTGACTAATATCCAGAAAGCTTCTCCACAGAAATACTTGCCAGTACCCTAAACCACCCTTCAATACTCGCGCCAAATTTGCGAAACCACACATGCTAGGCATCGTTTGTGTACATTGTTCTCACAGACAATTTCATCTCTTATTCAATTTTACGACAGGTTAGGCGTTGACATTCCAGGTTCAGGAGTTCCACCCGCTAAATGTTTAGAGGAATGGCTGATGAATTGAGGGCTGGTAACACCGACGGACGTACACCAATCTTTGAAGCATTTACACTATTCCAATGTCTTACTGTGGTTGGGCATTCGATTACCTTACTGTGCTGGAATTCTTCCACTGTTGTGCATGGCCTTTAAGCCTTTGCTGAAAACATAGTTAGTTACTATAATTTGTTTCACCCCCGTACCGATACCGTCCTATTAATTAACGGTGTACCGACTAACCCACAACACATACACTAGCTAATGGTAATAGGACAAATGTACCACTTACTACTGACCGTCGTTACACCATAGTGGCATCCCTTTTATGCTTCTAGGCGTAAAATAGAGGTTCTCGGCCCGACCTGGATGTCCTTGGCCACGATTATGGGCACATGAAGCAAAGCGAGATAAAGGGGTGTTGCTTAAGAATAATTATCCTCGAAGTTGATGTTACTCATAATTTTGCTTAATTGAAAACAATAAAAAATAGCATTCGTCCTGAAGGCCAGTTTTGGGTGTTTACGGGGAAATAAACCCGTCATCTCACCCAACATGAGATTTGAGTCATCGCTAACTCAGGTGACATCAGAGTGATCGCCTGAATCATTGTCAAGCTAGACTTCTGTAAAACAACTGAACCAATCATTAGATTAAAGAAGTGTCTTTGAGGTACGCTGGTTAAAATCTGTAAGTGGCGAGGATGATGTAGAGGAATGATAAAGCCAAATCGCCTGTTTCAGGAATAATTGAAATGGACTACAATGAAGGCCTTAGACACACCTAGGGGAGAGCCTTGGTGAAGAATAGAAGCCGGTAATGGTTGAGTCTTCATGGAAAAAATCTACTGCTGAAAAGACCTTCACCTCTGTTAGGCCATTACACAGGCCCTAAAGATCTGACTGCGGACAGGGTGCACTTTTCTAATAGTACGCAGAGATTGCATTTTTCACGTCTCAAAGGCACACCTTAGTAACTCATTCCCACATAAGCAATTCTGTTGAGTTAAAAAACTTGGAGTTTAGCTTACTGTAAATTAATGAGTCGATTCTAGCTCCTCATGGAAACCAAGAATTGGTCCCTCTGATTCCATTTTTCATTTCTATTCGAAATGTACCCTCTGTGCGTAGTGTTGGGGCTGTTTCACAAATGCAAATTGTCCAAATCACTTCTCTCGTGGTTAAGGATAACTCTCCAGTTCCTACCTCTCCGTGATCATCGGAAATGACTAATAAATGTGAATGTAGTTACAAATTTCCCTTTGAGTGTTTTCTTTTTGACTTTTCTGCATCGTCTTCTTTCTCCATTGCCGTAAATTATTTTACCCACACTTTCTTTTCCCTCTCTTGGGATTTTATTTCACTTAACTTTGGTTACTGTCAGGGTTTGAAGCGAAAAAGAGTCTTTATTAAGATCTTTATAATCAGTATTTAAAAGAAGAGCTTTCGTCGTCGATTTATTTGCGCAACAGAAGTAGTTATTCCAACCCATAAAAATGAGCCATTTTATTAGTTTTTTTATAACTACGAAAACCTGAAGAATTAATCATCATTTTATTGTATCATATGCAAGTTAAAGTTAGCCCTGAAACGTGCCGTTTTCTTGGCAAGGGCCGGAAACAATTTTTACACCGTACTTGGAACTGATTTTGCATTTGTATTATGCTTTAGTATATAACACTCAAACACAAGATGATCAGTTCGACCCAGTAATCATTGCTTTGAGAGGAAAACGATTTGCAGCTGTCTTATTGTTTGGAACCGACGCACACTACCTCTTCCTAAGTACAATGAGGTATTTTTCACCTGATTAGGCACCAAAGTTTGTGCAGCAAAATCGTCTCAAGTTTGACAGTAGTTTGATTCACCCATCGCTAATCGTGCTTGATGATGTGATGAGTGGGGAGTTGTTGCTCTTTTTCTGTTTTCTCACCCTTTAACGAACCATGGTCTTAACCACCTCACTTCCCCAAACACCATCAGCTCCACACCATCCTCTATTTTATGTCAATTTTACTTTCCACCTACGCTTTAGTGAGTTTTAGACGCAATTATTAACCACTGTCACAGCCAAGTCCTCACCGAAGGCGTTAAAACATATATCATTTTTAATCCAAATTTATTGTTGATGCGTAAAAGGATTGGAGAGCTGTTAGCAGCAACTGCACGGATAAGATACCATGTCACCTAGACGTAAATCAACATCTGAAAAGACCAAAGAACCCGTGCACGGGTAAAACAAGCTTCGCTCTGTTCCAGTTGCTGACTTTGAGTCTGCCTGTCACCTCTTCACAGAGACGCTTTGACCCAGCACCAATATGTTTTATAAAGGGTTTCATTAGACTATAGCCATCACTTATGCAAAATTCCACCTTGATTTCAGACCTAGTTTCGAGGCTTCAATCAAAGGAAAATAAATGAAGGGGTAAGCCGTTGTTAATTCTAAATTCAGCATGCTAACTCAAAAACTTATGCAGAAGTGGATCCACTAGAAGTACTTTGTCAACAATTTTAGTCAGGGAAAGTATTATTAACGAAATCATCCATTGATTACGTGACTCTCACTTCGATACCTCGATCATGATGCTGGGGCAAATAAACTTTTGGCTCAAATGAAGGGATTGTTAACGAAGGCACCGTGCATAAATTTTGATTTAATTGACTTGAATGTATGAGTTGCGGTGTAGCTGTAGACTAATGACTACTACCATTACAAATAAGTCAAACAAGGGTTTTCCTTATCAAGATAGCAGAACCATCAAACTAAGCAAGGTTTCAAAAAGCCATTTGACATAATGATGTCATCTAAAACGTCAGTATAGCCTCTACGACAAGAAATCATGCTGCTTTGTATCACTGCCACGTGGGAAAGAGATAAATGCGTTGTGTTTTTGTCTTAAAAAGGAATAGTTCTCCTCTATGCTGACTGCAAGAAAGGAGGAAACGAATCATTTGTAGTCATCAAAATGCTATAAACAAGTGTTTTTTTGCGAGGGGGTTTTGACGTCAAATTTAAGGCATTTTGAAATGGGGCGATTTTGCTGCACATTTGGGGGTGTGCATATTCGCATACGTCTCCTGTGTGGACTATTATTTATTTTTAGGCGTGTTTCAGTTGCTTCCTTCAAGTACACACACAAATTCATTCCATTGTAGATTCTTTTTGCAATGATTGGGTTATTTTTTGCGCTGCATGAATGCATTTTGAAAGCTCAGCATTCTTGAGGTGATTTTGGAGTTCGTGGGAGTTACGCAATTCTGGAGAGTACTTTATCAAGCGAAGGTACTGATCAATATGGAACGATCAAGATGATGACTGAGACACCAACAGTTCTGTTGCATAATACAGTAATACAGCTGATTCTTGTTTAGTAATTAAATAACAAATTATTTTACCATGGATTCCACCCACTCATTTCCATTCATTAATATCAGTTCTTAGAATAAAAAGTCGTATGAACTGATAGTAATTTTAATACTTTTTTTCTCATAATTACCCGAAATACTCAAGTAAATGCTTTGCTGGGATGATCTACTTATGTTGCTATGGCGACAGCACAGTGACCTCACCTTGGACTGTGTGTCAGTGTGGTAGTAATGTGTCCTCTTAGCAAGGCTTGTGCGCAAGTTTGTTGCCCCCTGCGTTCAAACGATTTGTGAGTTCCTGTTCGGGTCTTCCGCCTTTGCAAGGTCTTCGGCAGAATCGGGCAGACGCAACGAAGATAAACAGTCTCCTAATAGTGCGGACAAGTAAACCAAAATGCATGTCATTCATGCCCAGTGATAGAGGAGAAGGTTATTTTTGATTCCTCTTATCGACGAACGTGTTTATCCATTCTGTTCATATTGTTCATTCTTTAACAGAGGGTAATGGCAACAACTTTGATAAAGAATCGTACAGTTCGACGAAGTGAGCCTCTATACATCTGCGCAATGCTTCTTGTTTGGCCCGCCTATTAAAAACGGTAGAATACTAATATAGAAAAGACCAGCTTCGTCCTCTCTCTTTAATGAAAGTGGGAGTGGAAGACATTAAGGGATGAAAAGATGCTCATTATTTAGCGCATAATTCCCTCATTCGCTCTTAATCGCTACAGCTGTTGAGAATGGTAATGGTGATTGCGTTTATGCTGGATCTCTCGTCGCGTGGAGCGCTCACACGAATCCACACACACGCACACACAGGCTGCCTATTGCGTGTGTTTGTGCTTGTGTGTGACTACGTGCGCTTTCTGGCTTAGTTGCCAAATTATTGAGGGTGTGCCGCCTGATCTCCGATGACGTGTCCGCTCGAATGACTTACAATAATTGACAACCCCATTTATCGATTGGTTTGACTTGACATTGCAGGTCTTGGATCACGATCCTCTTTTGTCACCTTCCTCAATCCAATACCGAAGTAAAACGTTATGAGAGGCAATGAATTTATCCCAGACACTTTAGGTACCTTTAGCCCACCCGCTCATGTTTTTTTTTGAAGACTCCACTATTCTGTATAGGCGGGAAAAATAATTATTTTAGACCGCTCTTTGTGATTGCATTTTTTTCACACAAAAGGTCAAAAATTAATTGAATTACAAAATTTGAGGAGTTTCCGTTGCAATTTCGGCGAAGTTACCACAAATATCTGGGTTATTAATATTCACAAAATAATGTGCGGTTATGCACACTAGGAAAACAACGCAGTAGCCCTGGTTACAATGAAAGAAATTTAATCAAATTAGGGTGATTACTAGGAGGCCAAATCTTTAAAGGAAAGACGAGCATTTTACGCTATTCACAACACAGAAATGGCAAATCACGTTGTAATAGTAGCCTTTGTAAATGATGGCATCAAGCATCTACTTTTGAAAGTTAGAAGCATTACTCAACAACCTACTTTCGTTTGTAAAATACTTTACTGTTCGTTGCGAAATTTACTGTTAAGGTCTTCAATGTGTCAATTTGCGACCCTTCTCATTCTAAAATACACAAGTTTATGAAGATATTTAAATTATTTTCATCAGTGCACTTTGAATTGACTACATAAACAAAGTTTGTCAAGGAAGCCAAAGCCTGGAATCAGCAACTGTTTATTTTAAAATGACCTCATGGTCACATCCACCACTACGCCACTTTACTTGGCTGACGTCTAAGCCCAATTCGCAATGCTAACAAAGTATGCGTCTATCCCATTACTTCGGAGCTGGTATTTTAGTGCAACTGGAGGCCTTCAACCCCACAGAACGGTAAAATATGGTTCCCTACACCCCCCTCGATACGCCATGTCTGCAGTATCCAGAGCTTGCATTTCAACGCGTCTCTCGTTGTACGACTGAATCACATCTTCACCGAACAAATGCAAGAGATGCTCGAATTTTGATGTGCAATTGGATGGCGAGTTTTTTCCGATGAGTCAGGTTAATACTAATATTTTGCAAACTTGGGCACGCGGCTATGGAAACCATTTATGCGCACTCATACTCACAGGTATCCAATGGATACAGTTCATGCAAAATCATTAGCATATATTAGACATACCCGTGGCACGTATTATTCCTCTAGGTGTCAAAACAAAAAAGTACAGATATTGCTGGCAGCGTCTGCATCACATGACACTCAAAGCTGGAAATCCGACTTATTTAATCAGTGCAACGGTTTTGATGCTAATTGTGACTCCCTTTACGGACGACAGGAAAGTAAGGAAAATCAGTTCAGCTTAACAGAACGAATAAACACCGGTGTTAATTGGGGTCTAAACGAGTCCATCAGAAAAGGTCTCTTTCAGGAGGAATTTTTTGCAATTCTCTGCAAAGAAACTGGTGTGTAGGGAATATGAAATGACAAATCTGAGTATTTAACCATTTACAGAAGGATAGCTGGTGGATTAAAATGTTTATAATTTTTAGGTCTTAAATGCTCTGCCCTTTAAAAAAAGTACGTTTTTGCTTAATCAAGTCGAAATATTGCCAAAGTTCTTCATTTTGTTGGTCGGATGCTTTCTGGTGGCGAATTTCTTGGTTGAAAGTCCTAATCAGCATTAGTGACTTCCTTATTTTCCATTCTGGAGTCCAAGTGAGATATCACTGTCAGTGAAATGTGATACACCAGAATTGAATTGCACCCTTGATATAACCCCTGAAATAACCCCAAAAAACTGCACTTTTTGAATCTACGTGTTCAAACAAATCACCAACTCTAATTAGTGGTGATTTATGGTTTTATTTATGCCTATAGAAGAGTAAAAGTACCCAAGATTACCTTCGGCTAAAAGTAGGAAATATTCTTTTGTAGCAAGGAAGTACAACTACAGAAAACGATTAACAACGCTAGTAGGTACAATTTGTACCCATTGAGGTAACATTTTTTTAAAAATGTTTACGAGGTTCGAACATATAATTTAGATGTGATCATTTTATTTCCAAATAAGCTTTTGCTCTGTCAAAGTAATTTCTATTTTCCTCCCAATTCCGCATATTTTTTAGCATAATTAAACACGATTTTATCTTAATTTTTTTCCCCGCAATCAAACCTGGAACCCGATTAGGACGCCGCCTACAATACCATCCGGATCTGCTATTCCCTGTTCATTTAAACAATGAAACCGATTGCGTTACCCTTGGTTCACAAAAGCCAAGCAAAATGCGTGATCTCTTCAGCGGAGTGACAGCTTCAGGCGTTGGGATCGGGGGCGGGGACGGGGGCCTGGCGGTAAGATGCGTGGTCAAGCGCTGCCCACCCGCGCACAGCTGGCAGCCACGCTGCGCGCGCATGCTATCAGCTGGTCGCGCGAAGCGCATGTCCTCAGGTCGCTTCCACAATAGGCGAGCGGACACGCACGTACGCACGCATGCGTGCACATTTCATTGTGTGTTCGCGTGTGTTCACGTTGCCATGGCAACCGAATGCGAGTGCGCGAAAGCTTGTTTGCAAATCTGCGGTATGTGGGCACGTTCGCAAGACTATCGATTCCGACTTTTTGCACTTGGACGCCGCGATAGCTTGCCGAAATGTCTCGGGAAGATGGCCTACTTTTCAATGTGGATCCTATTACTCGGTCAGTGAGCATTGGTTACTCTTTTTACCCTATTCTTTGGCGTAGTAGAAGGTGGGCATTATGCCCCAGCCTCTTATTGTTACAGCAGCAGCGTCTGCTGGCTGACAAAGGAAAGGTCTGTGGTGCTTTGTTTAGTTATGAAACCGTGGGTATGATAGAGGTGGAATTTTGTTTGGTGTGAAATTTACACAAAAGATTGCAGCCGCATTTGGAAGTCATAGGTAGACATGGAGATGCAGTTATTTAACCCGAAGACCATTTTACTTAGCACGCATTCATGTTTTTTTTTCGCTTGAAAACCAGCTCTTGGTGTGTTGAAACTATCCATCTATGGGCACTAAAAGTAAAATTATTCCCGATGAAAGCGTAAAACTGCAAAAGATGTAATTTCCTTATAGGCGCACCTTTTGTTGGTTTCATTTAACGATTTCACGATGCAAAATACAGCAGCACCTTGGATGACTATGCGGGTACAGCAGCCGTATCAACGGCGTCACTTCCAATATGAAATGCTTGTGATTCTGCTGGTAGCATTTGATTTCACGCGAATCACCTGCTCCTAAGAGGACTTATGCACCACCTCACCTCTTTGGGAAGAAAGATAGAAGCATCATTATTGTGGAATTTGCGGTAAATTAAACAGAAGGAATAGAGGTCAATGAAGGTGCTTAGCGGATTTCGTCTAGTGCAAGGAAGGGATGATGGCATACGCCATAAATAGCTCTTTGATCGGCTACGAGACTGCGCCAATTGGCCTGCTATTATTAATGTGCACGAGGTCTGAGGTTATGGGCATGGAAGGGAGCACATGACTGGAGGGCCAGTGTAACCGAATATACACATAAAAAGTGACAGTTTACAGCATCAATATTGTTAAAGCTTAATGGATTAGCGGTCAAGGAGGCAAGTGTGACATTATTTGCACCGAGTCGAAACACCCTTATTTGTTTGTGATCATGATCTTAAAATGGTAGTGAGGTGATAGCTGTCACCAAACTGTTCATAGGCTCGTGTGCACGTGGTCAATTCCACTTTCCTAATTTGTACTAGCTCAATGACGCACTGACGCGGTGGTGATCCGAAATACCCATTTATCCTCTTGTTTTGTTTATAAGACTGGCGAACTACGTGTGTGTGTGCTGCCTTAACCAACCCACATATCATCAAGGTCACGTTGGATTATTTCCTTGCAACGATGAGTCATTAAGAGTCCTAGAAGGTACTAGGAGTTGACTGATGCGTGGTGATTCTCACCGTAGCCTGTCTGATGCGCTTAGGTTTATTACTAACCCGTGAAATACTTGACGTGCATACGACACAACCCCCAGTAAAGCAAGCATCATGACAAGTATGATTTGTCTCTTTACCGTCTGAGTTCTACCTAGGTGTGAGGGTCAGGTCAACAGCCTATTACTCCTAAACTGAACTGCATATTAAAAGTAATTCAATTCATTAGATGTACATACTTTATTAAATGCACCAAAGCGTGTAACTTTGGATGCAAGAGGCTAGATGAGAGGACTTCGTTTGTGGAGTAGCACCAATAGCCACTGACTTCGGTAACTTTAACTAATTTCAGAATTTCAGACTCGAATAATCTTCGTTTAGAAATTAATAAACGCTTAATGATAAGAGGACGGTGTACTGGTCCAAACGAACAATTAATACCAGAAAATACACCTTCCACTTTACTTCTTAGGCAAACCATTGAACAATTCGTTCCAAATATTTATCATATGGTAATGAAGGAAAATAAGGCAATCAGAAGAATATTAAGAATGAAATGTGTCTCGGTGTATGCGATAAGCGTTTGACAAGCTGAAGACCACCTCTGGCCATTACAGTCAGTTTGATTTGCACTGCCAAATCAGTAATAACAGATTTTCTCTTCCATTGAACCGCCAAAGTAAGGATGCATGCAAAGATAGTTCAAGCACACATAGGCGGCGATAAAAGTACTCGGAATAACAAAGTGCGCTCCTAATTTCTGCATTCGACGCAATTATTAACACAGTCCTGTGTAAAATTCACATTCTCAATCTAATCTTCAATCCGAACATATTTCGACTCAGTAAACTTCAGAAGATTTAGAATGTGACAGTTGTGGCTACATGCAGGAATGGGGCGCATCCACATACCTATGCGTCTGTCTATGCTGGAATATTTACTATCCCAGAAATCATTACCATTTTAATGTTTTGGGAACCTCTTTTTAAATTCTGCCCCTGAAGACATTTCATGATTTTTCAGACATGCATTCGCGTTGACCAATAATACGTGGAGACGCACGGCAAGGTCAAGGTCACTTAACGGTGGTGATCATCTGGGAGTTCACTCATCTAGCCAGCTGACGCGGGCGTGGATTCTGTGCTCTGGATGTACATACGTTCTTGAGACTGGGGACCTCACTTTCCCCATGGCCTTATTTCTTATCTTTTATCCAGTTAAGATTTCAATAACTTCTGTGCTCATTCAAATGATCACCAGTCCAAAACAGTTTATTGGCATCACTTTGCTTCTTTTAATTTCAAATCAACAAATCTAATGGGAAATATATAAGCCAATAAAATCGACTCGCACGCGTTCGGTTGACTATTGTAAAATCAGGTATCTCCACTTTTGTTAATCTACATAAGTCGGGAACACTGCCACCTGGTGCACAAGGTAGTACAGCTGCCTGACTGGATAAAATGCGAAATAGAATCAGATTTCACGAATATCTTTTAAGCATTGTTTGGAAAGGAGTGTGGATTGATGCCGTATTACTGACAGACTTCATTTTAGGTAGAATCCATGCTATGTCTCGATGTCACCACATGCTTAGCCCTCCTAAATACTTTAAGAGAATGGTGTTTGTTTAATTGTTCATTTAGTCACGTGGGTGTGTTGGAGTCTGCCATGCAAAGCACCTTGCTGATCATCTGCTCCTTCTCTACCTTGATCAAATCACTCCGCTTTTTTAAGATTATTCTTGTAAGCATTTATTTCCAGTAATGTATGATAATGAGTTTAGCTAGGCTCAGTAGTGTTGAGTATAAGAAAATTTTGAAAGAAATTCAACAATGAAGACGTTGAATTTAATCGTTGCACATCCCTTCCTCAGCCATTGAAATACGTAAATGTAACTGTACAAGATAGTGTTTCAGTGAAGTAAGTCTCTAGCTATCTATTTTTCTACCTAGATCATTACCAGCGAATTTTTGTACCAAACCTGACATTGCTTCTAAAAGCTCACGCAGAAAGCACTTACATCCATGCGTACAATATTATCGCAGAATCAAGATGAGGAATCTACCTTTATGGTAGGTTTCGGTTTTTCTCCCACTTCTCAAAATTTTATATCAGTCATCTCGTCAAATTGGAAGGAAGACGAGAGAGTATACACACATCATTCACAGTAGGTCCTATACCACCTCGTACCCTTGAATCATGTTCAGCAAAACATGTGTCGTTGCAAAAAAATGAACAACTTTCCAGACAGCTGACTTCCGTCTAAATAGATATTTACAAAACTTTATGTTTCTTGACCACCAGGAAGATATGTGAGCACGAATTGAATGGATTTCGATAACAGCAAGTTTGAGGTTAAACTCTCGTGAGAGAATTATCCACCAAAATAATTAATCATTACTAGGTGATGCAAGATTTTTAACTTGCCTGTTATAATGGAAATCAAATGAATTGCGTGAATTTCAATCCTGCTAAAATGGCTGCAAATTTTTTTTCCAACTTACACCTTCTTCAAAGCTTTCTGTGGTTAGGCGAATTTTCTATACCCCTGTGTAGATGAAGTCTCCTACCTCAGGTGTAACTATGAGTAAAGTGAGAAAGAAAACCTTGGAAGGAGGTTAACAAAACGTAAGAGCAAGAGATATACCGGGAAGCTCTTTTGGTACGGAAGTATTGTCCGCTAGAGAAGACTTTCAACATATTATTAGTGGAATAACAATAGACGTTTACGGCATTGCTGCTTTCTCGAGAAAGTTTTACTAAAGCGTATTAGAAGCATAAAAGCTTAAATTGAGGGCAGCATTCTTAATGCAACACCTATTACAGTGATGATCATCCCACATTGCTGTATCCTGGGGACTTTAATATGATTAAGATGGAAGGCTACGCAGTGTCTCATTTGTACCCTGTTTTTTTTATAGGAAAAGTTTGTAGAAGGAGGCAAATGTGTTGAGGATTGCGCAGTTAGGTTCACTGGGCTTGGACCTCGCTGAGTGCAGCCGTGCTGGCACGACAAGCAATCATCTTGCCTTAAAACACTTTCTGATTAATACGTTCTACTTGTAATTTATAAGTAAAATATGTGACCTAATTTCAAAATTACCTTTTTTAATGCCCTATCAGATGGTTCTTTGCAGTTTAACTTGAGCCGAACGTCTACGAGGAATTTCAAGTTTGTTATTTAAAGAAAAAGTGAAGTTAGTGTTCATATTAGCTTATTTTGCAAAGATATGTCCATCGCCCAATTTCTCACACCGCCACCCTGATTGGCAGATTTGGCATAGAAAATTGCAAAAGTGAGCAACAACAGATAGTGGTGGAAGTCTTCAACGCCCTAAGAATGACAGTATCCGATTTTGTACGACATTTGGCTCCCAATGGATGCAAATAGAAAACAAGGAAGCTATTGGTTTGCGGTTGCTACGTGAACTGCTTGCTCTTCCCAATTTTTTTCCAATTTACCGCAATCGTTTTACGCAGCTGCCAAGCTCCAAAGGATGGAGTTATCAAATGCACGCAGTAGCATTTAAATACAGAAAAGTTTTCATATCTCTAGTTTTGCAGACTCAGTCTTTCTCTAAAAGGTCACGAAACACTAAGAGAGGGAAGCAATAATACACAGTCCAAAGGCGAATTTCTTTGCATCTCTTATTTCTAAAACTAAGCATACATCCATAAAACATTTAATAACTAGGAACTCTGGCGTTGCCTGCTTGGGAGCTATGCTTAAACACAGGGTGAATGACGAAATCATTGCAATACTAAAAGCACTTGATGAAGGTGATCCGTTTTGCTTATTATGTGACCATCCACGGCATTTGATCTTACTGGCAAATGAGAGGAAATTTCCGGAGCTTAGCACTTAGCCATTTTACGAAGTGATTTTTTTGAACAAAGGTAAAAAAGACCCATCACTAATTCGCCTAGTAGCAGTCCCCAAATGTGCAGCTAAAATCAATTGAGATGATTCGCAACACAATCCGGGTCACACCAGTGATCATCCAACTGAACAACTTTGATTGTGTCATTATGATTTGAGGGTAAAAAACATGCCACCTAACATATCAGTAAAACTTTGCGGTCGTCTGTTGGAAGTTAAAATACGCCTAAGTGGTTTAATTTTTAGGATTTCCTCATAATTAGAGTCGGACATGGGTGCACTATAACCCGATGCGTATCTCTTTAGAGTGAGTGTAGAGCCGAATTTCCAAAATAACTAACGCTGAGAAACTCTTTTTTTAAAATAGAAATACCTATTAAGAAGTTTAAAGCAATTCTAGGTACTCTACACTTTTCGGGTTGATAGGTGTCCTCCGATGTAGCTGATAGAATGAGCGGATAGAATGACAAAGGCTTCAAAGCACTGTGCCTCGTAATCCCATGTATCAGATTTTAGCCTATTGTGTTCGAACCGAATCATATGCTCCAATTTGCCTTTTGCGGTGCACACGCTTTAATTTTGAGGAAAGCTGGTCCTATTTCGCGCCTCTCATCACGTCTAATAGCTTTGCACAGCTAAGTGAGACCTGTGTCTAGGCGTAAGGGGAGGGCCGCTTTTCTGCATTCTAGACAACCGCACACTTGGTTGTTCAAGCACTATGAACTCTAGGGAAGCGGACAATAAGCTAGGCTGACTTGGTTAGTGATGTAGAACCGATGCTCCAAAAGGATACAAAAAAGAGTAATAATTAGAATCGAATGGTCAATTTGCCAAGTCAAAAAGTCTAGGCCTTGAAATTCAAATTAGTGTGCCAATTTATTCAGTTAACTACTTGATAAGAGTCTTTTAGACTCCCATTAATATGCATCACGTTGACGTAGTCCGATTGTTTAATGTTAAGGGAACTTAATGATTGACAAAAAGGAAAGATTAAAATTTGTTTTTCAAAACGGAATGTCATTATACTAAGGTGATTCTACTTTAGAACAGTTTAACCAATTTTAAAGCCGCTGGCTAACGACCCTTCAAAGTTCTTCGAATTTTACATCCACTGTTTACTTTAGATTTTAACTCTCAACAAGCTAAGTGGTACCTCTAACCATTAAATATGATTCGTTGAGCTCCAAATATTTGCGAAAAGGAAATGTGGTCAATTAGGACTGTCACAGTGTTTATTGCGTAATCTTTTATTAAGTGTAAAAATATTATTAAAACGCATTTATAGCCTTGAAATACCCAGAAGTTTATAAAAGCCACAGAAGATAGAAGTCCTCACTTCCAAAATGACCATTCACTCACGAATTAAAACGAGTAAGGGCACTCACAGATTCCAATACGCGACGTCAAAGAACCATTTATAATACCTTTATGACTGCATCCTGTCTAAATCCGCAGTAACAGCATACCCAGGTATGCTGTTACATAGCCACGTAGGTGGTTGCTCCTGCATTTCAAAAGCTAATCTCATCAATGTCAATTATGTGCATCAACTTCAAAAATTTAATTTCCATACTTCCGGAGGGTGAGTTCGTAAATAAACCCAGCTTTGTAGCCCTATTCCTACAGAATCCCTTCTACTATATTTGCAGTATTCATCTTTGTAGTGTAATCTTGGTCACCCTTCAACAATGCGACCTTAGCTTAGACTCTTAAGGCTAAAAATTTATTAACGGATTCATAGCCTTAGTTTTATTATTTGTCTTACCGTCAAAGTAAAGTAGTTTCCTCTCACTGCAAAAGTCTCCGCTCCAAAATAATACATGTCAAAAAGCCCTCAATTTTTAAAAATTTCTTATAATTAGGCTAACTTAATTTAGTAGAAGTAGTTTTGCATAACTTAAAGTGCTTGAAATGCATATTTTTTAGGCAAATGGCAATGAAAGGTGGTAGACGCACAACGGATTTCAAACAGTATGGGTGTGGCCAAGAGACACCGACTGAGTACACGAATAGACTGAAATCCAAATAATAATTGACCGCAATGCATAGGCAATCCTGAGCAAGCCTAACGGATTCATGACTTTCTAATCTGAACAGTCTACTTTTCATAGCAGTGTCAGTATGCTGACCTGCGCCCCACGACCGTTCTTGCGACGTTCCCAGTCCCCACATCTGAAACCTCAACACAAATGCTAAGAATAGCCTATTGTAGCTATCAAGCTTTGTGTTAAGTGAATAGTTAGACCCTAATCATGGCAGCATGCCCCATTTTGAAGTACCTGTTGCATTTAGTGTCGCGGTAATATCTCTGTGGTATTACCCAAGGTGTTTGTATTCATGATTTGTATAGATGTGACCCTTGAATCGTCCTTCCTTATCCTTACCTGCTTATTCCCAACTCTTTTTTTAAAAGTTCCTCCGACACAGCCGGCTTATTAGCTGTGCTTAATCCGCCTCTGAAGTAGCTTTGTACAATAGGTGCTCGACTTATATGACAAAAGTTTTAAAAACACCGAAGTGCTTTTTCTCGTTACAAAATATACAGACAACAAACCTTCTAAGCGGCTCTTTTGCTTTAGGAGAAAAAGGAGACTCATGAGTGCCATAAAAACACCTTTTCTGCACCATCACGGGCCTTAAAGGTGTCATGTGCTCTGCTCACACGCGAACGTCTCACCTTAGAGCTACCCAAAACCATAATGTTCCTACATTTATTTATTCCGGCAAATTCTGTAATGAAACGAGAGCCCTTTAATTTCCGCAGACATATTAATAAGCTCTTCCTTGCGATCTCAGTTTCTGAGGTCAGAATCCTTAGTTTTCCTAAAATATGACTGCATGTATTAAAAAGTTCCGCGATTCTTAACGTTGATGATGGTTAAATCCGTTGATTGGGCACATTTTTCAGTCTGTAAAGCAAGAAGTGTAAAATGTGTGTGCTGAAGGAAGACATCTGGTTTTTAAAAAGCTACTTTAATTCAAAATTCAAACCTTTTTGTTCAACGATCTCACAATATATCACATAGTTCACATTCCTCAAAAAAGTGTTGTCTTAAAAAGTGCAACAATTAAGCCTTTACGTCATATAGTTTCGCCTCCAAGCCAAGTTATCATAGAAGACAAGTGCCACGTAAAAAACCCAATCCACAGGTGTGCCAACACAATGCTTGACTACGAAAGAGGGATGAGGATGAGGGCCGGTTGGCACCATTATTGTCCGTCAGATTTCACATGCAGAAATTGACACATTAACTGTATTAGTCCCATCCCATTACTTGTAATCTGTTGAATCAAAATTGCATCATCAATTCTGTAATTACAGCAACTAACAACTGCAAATCCCTCAAAATGTCAGTATATCAGATCATTGGCTCACCTGAGACTCAATGATTGTAACCACGTGATGCGCAAGGACACCGCATGCAATTCCAGAAACGTTTCGTTGATAGTTAAGGTAATTGCAAAAATTTCTTTTTCTGAAAGGTGTTTCATCAATAAAATGCGTGTTTCTCTTTCAAAATGGCCTAAAATCTTTCAAAATTCACAGGTGGTAAGGACGCTTTTTAACCCAGCACCATCACAATCGTTCTTTACCTTGCTTTAGGGGTCAAATTTGGTATATTTTTTGAAGTATCTTTACCACGCTTTAAGTACTTGTGGCGCATGAGCCAAACTAGTGCTCCCGCCCCCAAAACTCCTAGTCTAAGATCCAACGCGCGCTTAAACACCTGATGAAAATTTCATGATTTGAGTAAAAAAATGGGGCAGAATTTGAGTTTCATGTTTTGCTCGGAGATTTTCGAGAGGCAAAGGTTAATGATCGACAGAAGTTAATTAAATTTCGTGTGACTGTTGACGATTCAAAATGGAGGACCTCTGCCTTGTAATTAGATATCGACTGCGTTTGGAAACGTTAACAAAATCCCGCTCCGCCTCTGCATCTACCATTTAGAATTGATTCCAGAAAGATGATAGCAGGCACAGAGCCTTCACCTCTGAGGAGACGCTTGACCCTTACAATGTAAAATTCTTTTGTATGATGCCGGCAACTACCCAGCACAGCAACTAGGTTCAACTTTATTCATTAGAAATTTTAAAGGGATACAGGACTGTGGTTGCCACCAAAATTGTATGTTATTTTGAAGAAATGAAGCATCCCCATTACAATAAGATTGTAAATCAAACATTAGTGAGTTGGAAACACTTTAAGTTAATGAGCATAATATTTGTGTTAGATACAACAAGACTGATAGAAAACTGATGCGCTTTATGTTACCGTTGCTGTAACACAAAATCAAACCTTGTGATGCACATTTTAAGTTTATTTCGACACAACATTTTTACAAATTAAACATTTCTTGATGATAGTAACTAATTTTTCGTGAAAAATCCCATTATTTTGCTTTTTAATAAAATGGGCGTAATTGTCAAATCTTACAAACGAAAATGACGCCACTCCCACTTGAGAGATTGAAAGGCTAGTACTAGTATCTATGACACATAGGTGGCATCACTTCAAAGCAGGCGTTTTGGTATCTGTTCAAGTCCTGCGTTCTTCACATAACCTCATCTGGGATTCAGCAGTTTAGTGAACCATGCGTGCGTGACTACGTATCACTGGACCTCTTAAATTGCGCTTATCAACACTAAGCTGGAATAACTACGGTAGATGACACGCACTGCTGACCGCTTAGCAAACAAACTTTCATTATAACCCGCTATGTCCCATCAGATAACAATTTAAAATCAGAATGCACAACCAGATGTGTCCGATCTATTTACATTTACCACCAACCCAAATGTCAACTGATTCTACAGAATAGGCCTGGGTTATATTTTTAAAAGGGTATCGAGGGGATGGAGAAATAAGTGTCATAATTAACCTCGTATGCTTCCTTCATCATCTTCAGAAGCAAATTCGAAACCTTCTTCGGCATCCATTCGATTGTGACGATACATAAAAAATTGCACTAGAATCTGGAATCAAACGAATATCGCCGTTAGCAACTACGAATTTTGCAATTAGGAGTTTTCATTTTAAGTTTTTTCCTGGAACTTTGGAGTATTTTAATGCAGATCTTCCCAAATTTTGTTTTTGTGAGGATCAAAAAGGACATTTCGTATTGGAGACCAATTTTCGCATATCTTTGCACCTAGCTGGTCGTAAAGTAAACTGCAGGTCTACACTTCTATTTTTAGGAAAATTTTGACATTTGTAGGAAATCAAATGCCTGGACATCTATTTTCGCCACAGGGACGTGAAGATAAACCAGATTAGCAGGGAAGACAATTCTAATTAACAGAAAACCAACTTACAAAGGCATCAAATAGAAGAATGCCCAAGCTGCCTAGAATCCACGGTAGAGATTTAACAACGAAGACGGCATCGATGGATTTGACAAAGATTTGACAGCCATAGAACGTGTTACCCAGAACGGCAAGGAAAAACAGGTAAAAACTGAGACCTTCCGTGCATTTCCGCCTCCACTAAATTCAAAAAAGTACTCAAGAGTTCATATACATTCTAAGGCAAAAAATCTGCCATTTTGTAAATGACTTCCTGGAATTTATGATATCTTAACATAAAGTTATACAAAAAGTTCTGAAATAATAAAAACTCGCTCGGAAGTGTAATGCAATCTTGGCATTATGATCTCCTACGGAGAGCTTGAAAGTGCAAAAAATTATAACTTACGTTCATGTAAATCTGATGTACTCGACCCAGAGCATACATAATAGCGCTGGTCCAGCCAAAAATGTAGCCAACTTTCTCACCAGGTGTCTAGTAAGTACAAAAAAAGGTTTACAAAAGTTCTAGGACATCTCTTAACTCTGATTAATTAAACAGACCCCAGTCTCTTTGAATTAGCTTACCGATAGAAAGTTGGCCCACGGATCAGTAGTGGAGGAGGAAAAGAGTTGACGTTGCATTTTTAATGAATAGTCAGAGGGGCCAGACCCTCCAAATGTTAGCGATACCGGCAGAAAGCTCAGAGTCAAAACACCAAGCAATGCAGTGGTCAGGGTTTTGCCAACTGTCGAAGCGCTCGGTGACCTTACTGATATTTCCTTTTCCTTAACATCCTCGTCTTCCACAAATTCATTGTCAAGGTCTTCCAAAAAGACAAAACCAGAATTCACGCAAATTATTTGGTCAAAAACTTGGGTTACAAAAAAAGCATTTAAAGCACATATTCGCTAAAAGTATCGCATTGTTTAGAATACAAAATAACAAATGTTAATTGCACGACCAAGTTGTCTCTAAAATAAAGGTCATTGACTAACGTTTTTTTCGCCATTTGTGGAGCCATAGGTAGTAGAGGTACTGTATCCAAAGTATAATATCAACAAGGACGGTATAGCCAGCCAAAAATTTCTACAAATATAAAAATAACATGATTTTAAGAAATATCGATGACCAAACCAAAAAATGCATCAAGCGTGAAAAATTATTAAGCACCGCGAAATAGTGGGAAAGGCTACTATAAAATGTAATTGATAAGAGGATTTTTAAACTTACTTGCAAAAAGAGCTGATCTGTCAAAAATGTACCCACGAAGTTAAGAGTGTCTCCCAATAGCCAAAATAGCAGTAGATAGATAGAGACTGCGGCATCTGGGATTTTTTTGACACAGTTTTCGTAAATTTGAGGAAATCCGAACAAGAACCAAGCGGCGATACTCATAACACCAAAAGCAACGGAAACCTTGTCTCGAGTAGACCGAATGCATTCACCTAGACCATACCAAGCCCAGTCTAGACCTCCCGGACATTCAGCTTCTAGCGATCCCGGCAATGGAGTCGTTGACATCTGTACTCAATCTGCTTCAGTGTGGATCGAAGTGATAACCTGTTATATATATTTGACTTAAGCGCAAACCCAAATTAATGTAGCCTTTTTTTGATAATAAATTTTGCTTAAAAATTATAAATACCATAAAAAAATATATGTAACTGCTAATTTAAATATTGTGTTTTACTTATTACTCAAGGTTACAAACAAGGGCGACAGCAGCGCGCTTTTGGAAAACCAGACATGGTTTTGCTAAAAATTTCCTCGTATTTTTTGTTGGCTGGGTTTAATAAATTATGATTACGGAGGAAAAAAGACGCTTTGGAAACCGATGTTGCCTTTGCATATGGAGCATACGAAGCCTCCTCTGAATTGGCGATAAGCCATACCGACACAGGATTAGGCTGATTACTTACTTAAAAAGAGCTGAGAGGCTACACGTAATCCCAAAAGCCGCGCCTCTGAGACGGGGTACCAACTTCGGAGGACAGGTTACCCGCGCATCCAAATGGCCGACTAAAAATGCACCGTACCGTTACAACTGGGGGCTATTAATACACATCGTTGAGGCTCTCTGTGTAGGAAAGATAGTTTTATATGCAAAAATTGTGCAATAATCGGGTCGTTAGATCAAATAATGGTAGTCTGTGCAAGCTGCTTTGTGTTGCATAAACTTACACGTCGTCACTACATCTTCCTCCGGTTCTATTATGTTGCAAAAACCAGCAGTATTTTGTCCAATTATCAGCCAACATGTCACATTAACAAATTTTGTGTGTGCTGTATAATAGCTTGATTGGTGGGGGGTCTTTCATTTGGATCATAATTTTGGAAAACCTATTTTAGTACATTTTTGCTACATCATGCCTTTTAGGCAATTTGTGATCAGTTTATATCAATTTTTTGTCTTAAGTGACGTTACCGTTTGCTAAGGCAAAAATGCGCTTGAGTAGCTTCCCTAAAATACCTGAATAATCTGAATAAGCTGTTCTTGTCTCAATTTTCTTAATCAACGTCTGTGCGTATGAGCATAGCATCTCAATTGTGAAATTGGACGTTTTATCAGACTCTAGATCTCACCACTTTGGTGGGAGTCATAAATATGTACAGTTGACACAAAACTTAACCTCAATGCCTCAAAACCTTGTGTATTATGTCACATACTAAAATTGCCGAAAGGAGTCGTCATAAGAATCAGATAAATGCATAACGGTTTTTTATTTTTTGGCCTTTCTCTTACAAATATTGTATGATGCATGTAGTGTCATAACCTTAAAGTGCATGACATATTTCCCAAAAATAAAACGGTTCACTCCTATCTAGGATCCAAAGTAACGCACAATTAAGGGTGGGATATTCAATATGCATATTTGAAATGCTGTTTTCATTGTAAAAATATGCGTAACGAAGGTTGTGATCATAAACGTAATGACATCCCAAACTTCGGGAAGTAGTAAGGCATACCTCATTGAAGCGGGACCTATATCAGATCAGGAGAGTAAGCTCCATTCAATTAGATTTGATAGCCTACAATGCAGCTCTCTTCTTCCTTCTGTGTAAATTAAATTCTTGTCTTAAATTAAGCACTTAATTTTTTTGAGGCTAAGTGTTGTCTTAATAATCACTCTGGTGATTGAATTGTCATGTCTACAGGCCTATCGCAATCCACTTTTAAATTTCTCAATGATATTTTAACATTTTTTTGTCCTCAAAGTGCAAAAATAATTTTGACTTTTGGATTTTATCTGAACATGAAGTAATTTGATCAATAAATATTTTTTCTTATTTTTGTAAATACAAGTCCATTTACATGAAGACTTAGCAATTTCTTCAAAACGGTAATGTTGTAAAAGAAAATGTTTTGATTTTTTTAGCGTTTTTTTAAAGTAAAAAAATATTTTTTTTTTGGAATTCTAATAAGCCTTACATGACAGCGTGTTTCATCAGGTGGATTCTCAAGAGGCTTAAGTGCTACGGTAACTCCAACGTAATATCCCTCCCATGTGCTTGTTTTAGTATCCAGCATATTACACTCTAAAAGACGAAACTGTGTAGAGAATGATGAAATGTACTGGCTTTTATGAACACTTTTTAACTCAAGGGTGAGTCAAGGATCTTGGATGGAAGGGCTTCATTAAATGGATGACTGAATTTAATGAGAATCCAGGGTTTAGGAAGCAAATTAACACAGAATTTTTGTGATACTTGTAGGTCTATTTTATCATTTAGGCTATCACTAGGTTTAGTTAATTGTGCTCCTATGCTTGCTCATTGAAGTCTACCCAGCCGACCTAAAATTATTTAGTGAATACGAAGTGCTGACGTTCCATAGCCTTTTGCTGCTTATGGAACTGTGCTATTTAATCAGACAATCCAGAAGGGTTACATTTCGGTTTGGAAAACCTTAAGGCAAGCCTAGCCTCGGTAAAGTGATGAAGAAGTTTTGCCAGGAAAATATATCTGTCGAGGACTCTCCAGCTCCTGAAAACGCAGTTCCATTTGTTATGACCGTAAGAGTTTAATGCTTTGATTTTCAGTTAACCCTTGTTTATCACCAACAACAACTCCGACCAATAATAATTTGTGGAGAAATTTGGAGGGGATAATGTTTGCTTTGGAAAGAAGCTTGCCTAAATCAGAGTGACAGGTCATCGATAAGTCCTGTTTACTTGGAAAAGGGATCAGATGATCCTCTCCTCCGACACATTTCTAAAGTATCTCCCAGCTTACAAAATGCCCCAATGAATCTTGCTTTTCCAAGATATACTTACAACCTATAGGTGCAGTCTTACAGTGAGTTCGATTGTAGCATAAGGCCAAAATTTTATAAACATCTTATTCCTCAATTTGATATTAATCAACCAACGTGTCAATATGTAACAACCTCATCTCCTGCCGAACGGAATACTTTAGATTTATGAAAACTCTTATTATAGCTTAACTCCTACCACCGCCTTATTCCTTTCTGGACAACTTCATTGGAATAATAAGTGTCCTCACAGTGTTCACTGATGGAGTAAACGATGAAGGAGGAGGAGGAAGAGCTTGCTACCGTGTGACTTGCCATCAATTAGCGGAAGGGTGATGAAATGGCTGCGTAATGCCACTGAGATGTTGGCAGAAGCACTGGCACACGTTGACACGTACGTGGGCGTTCACCACGACGAAATGTGAGGGTTGTCTCGTCTCAATATTGCTCTTTTCTCATAACTTGAGTGATCCTTGCCTGACAGCGCTTCTTTGTAGTGTCTTGAGAACCTTGTTTACCTAGGAGAGATTAATCGCTGAAGAGTCAAACAATTTGTAGAACCAAGAAATCAAGTAGGAGGTGGAAGCATGGAACCTAAGGTAAGGTCAGGAGGAGCTATCATGGGAGCAAATGGTAAATGTTCATTAAAAACTTTTGCAAGTGATGCCAAATCGCGATCCCTTTCCACATAGACGTACATATAGTATAGAATACGGAACTAGTTGGAAATGCTGATGAAGGAAGAATTGACAATACTATATGAGATTGGCAAAAAAAGCAGCTGAAGCAAATAGTTTGGCTTTGCTTTACTAAACTACTCTTAGTGTTTAAGTCCCACTTGACCTTCCCCTGTTACTCACGAGCCATGTACGTATTTTCATCATTCTACGGGTTTCTACACCTAACATGATACTAGACTGGAAATATCCCGGTGTGTTTCCTCATGTGCTTAAGTCTTACAAATGCTTCACTTTGTTGATTGACAAGGTTTGCCACCAAGTATATGATATATACCGCTAAAATGAGAAGCATGCGCATCCAGCTTGGCTGACAATCCCAAGTTTACATATGTATGACACAATAACTACCTTATCTGTTCTCATACGGATGCAGAAGTTGAGCATCTTCACCTTTCTGGAGTGGTATGCATCTCGAAACCACCATTTGTAGGGAAAAACATTAAGCAATTTTTAGATTTTATTCAGCTGGTCAAAACGAAAACCACAGCACACCCTTTTTCAAAATGCTCCCAAAAACCCTACTTATAGGTAAAAGTAGGATCTCTGCAAACGACGATCACAATAATTAGCATCAGTTTTGCACTGACTAATTTCAATCTCAGAGATCACCTAATCTTGCAATTCCAACTTACTTGCCTTAATACGAGACTAATTTTATGCTGGTATCCTTACATACATTCTGCTATTCTAAAGTATCTCGAGATCAAATGTTTCCCGAATCATGCCAAGTCAATGGCATTAGTGCCATGATTTCAGGCAAAACACACTCCAAACACCTCTTTTTAGGAACGTCTCTCCTAGCTCTTACTTGTTTTGACACTATTGCACTATTGCATTCATCACCAGGTGAGTATCACGTAAACGCAAATAAAGAAATGCACGGTGCTGAAATACTTTGATTTTAGAATAAAAGTACTATTGTGCTTGACAGATCTGTGTGAATCGGTTTGTGAAATCACTTTATAATTTGGAATTTATGATCACCTAACAGAGTATGTATACGTTTTCGTTCAAGAGCAATGACTCTGTAAATCAGTGTTACATTATAAAAGAAATGAGGAATAAATAAAAAGTGGATTGTAGAACTTGTGTGATTTATAGTTGCTGGTGTGATGCCGCAAAATAAAGTAAGCTACTTTCATTAAGGATTTTCAATTCTCAGACATTCAAGACAACTGCCCTAACACATTAATATACAGAGACGTCTTGAGAAAAGGAATTGCTAACATGCGAGATTCCCTAGATCAGGTAGGAGATAATCTCTCTCAACTATTTCGCAGACAAGCAAGTTTCGCAATCTCTAATGCTCATTTTTGAGCAAATAGGGCATTTATTGAAGGTTAATCAAGATGTTTCACACAAAATGGAACCCCGACTATTGCATAATTTTCAAGATTACTACAACTTTACCGAATTTGTGTTCCTTGTAACCTAATCTAGCTCTGTGACACCTTGCTTACCCCGACACTCCATTGAACAAGCCCTACAAGTACGAGGTTGCAATTGCCGAAATCTTCCAATGGTCTGAA